CACCATGGATTCTTAAATTTGAATTTTTTTAAAAATTTCTAATTTCTTTAAATTTTTAATTTTTTTAATTATTTAAATTAAAAAAATTATTCAAACTAATAAATTAAAATAATGTGATCAAACACGTGGTAAGTCTTTTATTCTTTTAATTTTAATAATTTAATTCTCTATTTTAATAATTTAATTCTCTATTTCAATTTTAATAATTTAATCCTATAATTTAATAAATAACATCGAAATCCTTTTATTTATTACAGATTTTGTTTCACTCACGTATTTATCTTATGTTTGTTCGTTATACTTATAATTATTTAAAAAAGTGCATTGACTTACCTGATAAGGGCTAAATAGCCGAAACATGTTGTAACAACTTTATGTCAAACAATAAATAAACATCTTAACTGTAAAAGGCCTCTAAAAATCATTAACAAATTTATAATAAAAACAGTTTGAAAGAAATTTAACATAATAAACAATAATATTCATAGTGAGAAAATTACCGAGTTCTCTGATAATAATAACAACAATAACAAAACGAGGAAACATTTTTAAATTCGAAAACTTGTTAATGAATCAACGGCTATAATGCGCATATAATATTTATCCTTTGATTCTGGGCCGTCCAGATACCACGTGGACAATTTTTCATCACTTTTTGACCCCCCCCCCTCCCCCCCTCGTGGACAATTGTGGACTTTTGACGAACCCCCCCACCACCCTAAATGTCCACGTGGACTTTTTTTGGTGAACATTTTTTGTTTGTATTGTAACAAACTAGTTATTTTTAATTATTGAAATCAGTTAGAAATATCAAATTCAAATAAAATTAGAACTTATAAAAATTAAATTGAGATAAATTGACAACAAACAATAATTGAAAAAGGAAATTAAATAATTTAAACAATAATTAGCTCGTATATAAAAAATATATTCTAAAATAAACTTGCTCAAATAAATTTATCATAATCAACGACTTACAAATTTACGTTCCTTCGTCAAAAATCAAATTACAAGCTACACATTAGGAAACGCACGCGGGCTCGAGCCACGAATTCGAATCACACTCGCACAGATATACAAAATTATGTTACACAAATCATGCTTTGAGCAAGATAAAATTGAGTCGGACAAAAATAAATATGAAATATAAAAATTGATATAGTAAAATAATTGCTTTTGATTATAGAGACATTAAATCAATAGTTTTATAAAGACAAAAGAAATGATTGAGACAGACACAGACAGTAATGGTTTTTGTGACTTATCGTTCGTCGTGGCAGTTGGATTCTTGGCTCTGAGCGGGTTTAACTTTGGAAGCGGTCTGGAGACGTATTGAACCTCGTGAATGAGCAACACCGTGTATTCTTCGTTATGTGATAAGTAGGCTCCTTTTTGTCGGAATCGGGCGGCTTTTTTCCCCAATATTACACCAACGGAGTACAATTGAAATCAACGAATGAGGACTCTCCCTTGACCCTTCGATCTCCACGCAAACAGCACAAACTCAATTCCACAAAATGGATGTTAATTAAACGCCACACTAAATGAGAATTATTAAATTATAATTATTAATTTTACTCCGAAATATGATTTTTAAATATTTGATACTCGAATTTAACTATTGAAATTAATACCTCCAGCTCATCGGCGATAGACACGGAAATGTGGCGCGGAGTCAAACACTTGACCAACGACGAACAATTAGTGAGGACGCGTCCCTTTATCGTTACTTTTATTCGACACGGAATAATTCCCCACCCATTCATCATTCTCCAGCCCACTTCCATCGTTCTTCGTATTCCTGGCGGGATTCTCAGAAATCATGGCGCTTTTCCAGGAATACGGCGGGAAAAGTCATTCACGCATGTCAACTCTACTGTCTCGATATAAATTTAGGCGGAACAATTCAAATTTGCTAGGCTTGTTAGAATTTGATCCTTTCAGTATGTTTCTTATTTTAAAATGGTAAATAAATAGATATTTAATAGTTATTAGAAAACATTTAGTCACTGTTTCTTTTAATTATAAAAATAATTTTCAAGTTTACTGCTAGTAAACTTAAAATTTTGCTAAGCAAAATAACATTTTTGGTTGAATCACATAACAATCACATTGGTAACACATCTTAGAATAACGTTTACCAACTAAATACCATTATTTTTTGGTATCGTGAAGATATTTTTGGCAAAAATATTTCAAATTACTCTACAAACTAAAAATACATAAATCTTTCTGGCAACAAATCTTAAATTATCGATCACTATAGCTAAAAATACAATGTATGGTAGAATTAAAATATTTATGCCAGGAATATCTGAAAATTATCGTATAAAATAAAAGTAGGTAAATCTTTATGGTAACAAATCTTAAAATAATATCGAAAAAACCACAATCGTCATCTATATTATCATTGCTGATCCATGGTTGTGTTAACCATTCGGCAAGATTATCAGTTGCGAAAAAATCAATGGAGCTCTCTGAAGTTACATTATTTTCCATCTCTACACAAGACACTTCAACAAGTTCCGTTTCTTCATCCCAATTCTTTGTATTTCTTTTACGTTGATTTTTATGTAATATTTTAACGTGAGTAGTTAAGTGCGACTTTGCGGCAAAATAAAGGCCACATTCACTGCATATGCGTTTTAAAATTTTAAAAACAGTCTGTTAGTTGATTGAAGTATTTTGAGTCAATAGTAGTTTCAAAATTCAAGGTGTATTTCAAATCAAAATTTGTTACGCTGAGTATCAAAATTTTTATCGGAGTCCTATCTGTGGAATCTTTTTAAGGGGCCACTTACCTTGCAGTACAGGTAGTACTGAAGGGCAGTACAAATCATAAGGGAGATTTTGAGGTAAATCATTCACAGTAGGTCTTAAATTCATTAAAAATGAAATTGTAATTTATGAGAATTCGGGTTAAGGTGGGTTTGTTATGATTTTTCACGTGTAGCACACCAGCCGGCGTATATTGATTCGATAAAACTCGAACGAAATCGATAAAAATATCGAATGACTTGCGCAGCGCTGCATAATACACTGGCGCGAAATTTAAAAGAGGGATAAAAAACAATAAATAAAATTTCATTTTTACTGGGTCCACGTGGATATTTGCTTTGACCCCCCCTCCCCCCCTCGTGGACAATCGTGGACTTTTGACGAACCCCCCCTCCCCCCCAAAACTGTCCACGTGGTATATGGACGGCCCCTTCGCCAGGAATCATTATTTGTACCTATTGATTTGTCTAAAAATTTAAAAATAGAGATACTGTGATAAAGTGGAATCACTTAGGTCAATTTAGATTTAAGATGAACGTGATAATTCAATAATGACAATCTAAGTATTACTAGTAAAATTATTATTCTATTACAAAATAAGCAGACGTGGAATATAATAAATATACTAATGACAGCGTGAGTGACGTTGGTCACTTGGCTGATTTTTTCTTTTATTGCGCTAGCGATACAAACAAAAGAAAATTTTTTTTTCAAATATGGCGATGACAATCAATTTGTAATAAAAATTTTTTAAAAAAATTTGATAAACCTTGGATATGGTTCGAAAAATTCTCTTTCACACAAACGTATGACTGGATTTATTGGTGAAATTATAATTTGTTTATTAGATTTAGTCTTTTAAAAAAACAATTGCAATTTACTTTTTCTTTATTTTGTTCCGGGAAATAAATGCAATACAAAAAAGAGTATTTTCATTTTGCAATTTTAATACTAGTCATTTCCCTAAAGATTAGATTTGTTTTCTTAAGAATATTTATTTTTAATCCTCTTTTTGAGATACATAATATATATATATATATATTAAAAGTCGAAGATTGCTCGTTTCTTCTTTCTTTCTTTTTTTTAACAGTTGAATTTTTATGTTTAATACATATGTTAATTTGAGCAATAAATTTTGTATTTTTTTTTTTTTAATTAATAGGTGTCCAAAGGAAAAGACTTTTTAAAAAATATATGTTTTGTTAATTATAATAACAAATGTTTCAAAAATGATTTTGTGATTATATGTACTTTTATATAATTATTATGATATAAGGCTTACATGAAGAAATATGTATTACTTTTATTTGAAAATTCATTTATGTACCATTGTTGATTATTTTTAAGTTTAGTGTCACGTTTAAATTTTTTCACGACTTAAAATATTTATTAAATTTTTTTTTCTAATATGCAGTGATTAAATATACACTACAGATATCTGGCTGAAAAAAAAATCTTCCACACACTCTACAACTTTATATTATCGACTTTTGAGTCGATAAGTAGGATCACTTGTCTATCAGTAAGTTGTAGAGTGTGAGGAAGATTTTTTTTTTCAGCCAGATATCTGTAGTGTAGTGGTTAGGGTCTTTAGCTAGCGCGCGGCGAATGTAGGTTCAATCCCCAGCACCCCATAATTTGTTTTCAAAAGTTCTTGCTCAACAAGCATGCAGTGCTTGATTCAATGTGAATCAAAGCAGAGCAACAATGTTTGTATATTATTTATTTTATTTTTAATCCCAGATAGTAAATTTTTTTTATTGATAATAATAATAATAATAAAGATCTATCTATCTATCTATCTATCTATGTATTATTAATATTAATAATAATATTAATACTTCTTAAATATTATTTTTGTATTTTTTACAAATATTTTCGTCCAACCTTTTCTGAAAATTTAATTTAAATTTTTAGGAAATGTTCGTCACAAAAATTGACTGAATATTTAAATTACATTTTCACTCAACTTTCGGTATAAATTTTTAATAAATATTTAATTTAAATTTTTAGTCAACTTTTACGCCAAACATTTCACGAAACTTTAATTTAAATCTTCACTCAATTTTCGCGTCGAAAATTTCTGGAAAATTTAATTTAAATCTTCCGTCAAGTTTTACGCCACACATTTACTCATTTTGGACATTTAAATCTTTATACAATTTTCTCTAAACTTTGCAATTAAAGTTTCCGAAGTTTGCAAATAAATCTTTAGGAAATTTTCAAGAAATTTTGGGTGCTGTGGGGGCGATAATGTGCGTTTGGTCCGGGAAATAACGATTTTTATCTCGCTGAGCCTCTTCGTTAATAGTGCTCAATGCCCATACGCGTGCATCATTTACGCTTCCCGGACAAGCTGCATAAATGTCGGTAAACTTCATGTTAGCGTCACAAATTGCCTGGACATTTATAGAATAATATCCCTTCCGATTGAAGTAGGTGTCGGGATGATCATGTGGCGCACTTATTTGCACTTGGCAACAATCAATGGCCCCAATGGCTCCTGGAAAGCCTTTAATTTGACGAAATTCTTGTTCCTTTTGACGAATTTCAGGACCCGTTGGCCACTGAATGAATTGACGTGCACGTTCACAAAGTACACTCCCAACATCAATAATGCACTGCCACGCCGTAGAAATTGAAACACCAAATCTGTCAGCTACAGACCTATAAGAAAAATTGTATTTTTAGCAATAATGAATTTTAATTCATTATTCACAAATAATTTTTTTTATTACTTATTTATTTACATATTATTTATAATATATGTGACCTGGTCTTCTACGGAGAGGGACCTTTCAAGTCAAAAAAATAATTTTTCACTTTTTTGCCGTTTCGGATAAAGTTTGAGACGTTCTTTCACATGGTGAAAACCAGAAAGTCATAAATTACTAAAAGTAAAGGGAAAAAAAAATTTTGAATAGCTGTTTTCTCGAAAACTTATTTTCCCACGTATGATATCCCTTTTCGTAGACCAGGTTACGCATATGTTTAAATTTTCACGTAAAACTTCAAGAATTTTTATGACTTATTTTCATAATTAAACTCGTTTACGAACCAGTTTATAGAACGATTCATGTTTTTTCGATTAGTTAAAATATTTTAAGCGAAATAAAATTGAAAAAAAAAATTTTCTCCTCTTGCAGTTTTGCAGCAATTAAAAATTTTGCTTCTTTGAAGTGTGGCTTTACTTACGCAAACTGACAAAAAAAGAAATGATTCGACTTCAAGAAATAAAAAATTTCGATGATTTGCAGATATTTTGCTACATTTTTTTTCTAATTTTATTGATATTTTTTTTATCCTCAGCGAATCGTTTTTGCATTTATGAAAACGTGTGAAATAAAATTAAACGTTAAACTACAAATTTTTTCTTAAAGACCCAATCGAAGACAGTAACTTAAAAAAATGAATTTAAACTTTGGATGAATTAATTTTAAAACTTAATTAATAATTATTGAAATTTGGACGCATTGAATTTGAGGTTAATTAAAATTTAAATCGTTTTAAATTTGGATGAATTAAATTTAGAGTCGATAAAAATTTTAATTAATAAATGTTTTGATTAATAAATATTGAGATTTAGTGGAATTTGAATCGAATTAATTTGAAGTTGATCGGAATTATAAGAATTGGAAATTTATATCGTTTAAATTCTTGAAAATAGGTTCAATTTATAAATAAATTTTTAAAAATTATTTAAAATTATTGTTTGATTACAAGAGGAGATAAGAATGATCCGCGTACAAATTTAGTCGAGCAAACTGCTGAACTAAAAAGTCAGGCGGTAAACGCAGATGATGCTATTTCGAAGGCATTGAAAAAGATGCAGGCTACCTTAGAGGTTATGGCTGCAGCTCTATTAAGGTAGAAAAATGTTAATAGCAACATAAAAGATGGTATTCCTGTCCTTAGGGAGATGGTGGATATTATCAATACAGAGAGGCAAAAGTCGAAAACGGCTAAAGGAAACTTGGCGGCTCTAACAAGATTACAGTCCCGACGCAACAGTTTGAACACGCCAAAAAAGCCTAAATCTTCAGACGAGACTAGTTCAAGCACTCCAAAAAAGCGCTCAGCAACTAGTCCACTCGAAAAAAATGGAGAAAACCAGTCTGAAAAGAAGAAGAAAGAATTACAGAAAGAAGGAGAGTGGATAGATGTAAACTCTAAGAGGAAACCTGAGAAGAAGAAAGAAGTCCTTCCTTCAAGAAATAAAAAATTACGCTCAGAAGCGGTTATCATAAAGCCTAATTTCTCCAATTTTCTTAAAATATTAAATAGGAGACAAATTTAGTTTATTTTGAGAGTATTTTAATGTTCAAACGAAATCAAATGATCCAATTTCTTTTTATGAAAGAAATGTAAATATTTTCGAAAAAATTTAATTTGCTTTAAAAAATTAATCAATAATTTAAAGAATCAAATTTTTTTTCAATACAATAATTAAACATATCCACGAAACGAGAAATGGATGTGTTGTAGTTGAAATAAGTAGAGTGTCTAAAGACAAAAAAGCTTTCGCTGAAGCCTTAACCAAGGTGGTAGGTGAGCTTGGAACGGTGGAAAGCAGAACTCCGAAAGCCTCTTTGGAGATACGGGATTTGGACTGTATTACAACAAAAGAAGAAGTGGAAGAAGAAATCAAGAATGCACTAAACGATCAGATTGTAAACGTAAAAGTTTTTCTAACAAAACCAAACGCCAGAGCAGAAGTAATGGCGATAGTGGAGACTAGCGAAGAAATTGCTGAGAATCTGCTGAATCTAAGTCGCATTAAAATAGGTTAGGAAACACGGCAAGGTTAGGAAACTTCAGTGGCAAAGTTCATACAAGTTTGTGTCGATGTTTAAATGTCCACATGAAAAGAATATTCACACGAAGCTTTGAGGAAATATTACACATAAATATTCACGTGCAATGTTCAGTAAATGTTGTGTCAATATGGAAATTACATTTTCGCCTAGTTATAAAAATTTCATTTACTAATATAATAAGTATAGGTGAATATTGACACAACATTGACTGAACATTGCACGTGAATATTTATAGTGTAATATTTCTTCAAAGTTTCGTGTAAATATTCTTTTCATGTGGACATTTAAACATCGACACAAACTTGTATGAACTTTGCCACTGAAGTTTCCTAACCTTGCCGTGTGAGGCTCTGTCAAGTTTCAGGAAATTTTGGGTGCTGTGTGGGTAGAATATTGGGAATATTCTAAAATAATATTCCATTTACATTCCAGGAGCATAAAAATATCCACTTTTTGAAATATTCTTTTGAAATATTGCAAGAATATTTGGATATTTCATAGGATTACTACAGGAATATTTCTTTGGAATATTGTGGGAATGTTCCATTGGAATATTCAAATAAAAAATTATAAAAATATAATATGAATAATACATCAATATTCTTGAAAAAAATCAAAATTAAATCATATTTTTCGAAATTACAAGAATATTCCTCCAATATTCTAAAGGGACATTCCAAACATCGGATATTTTTATATTCTTAGAACATCAATGGAATATTCCAAAGGATTATTTCAAATAAAGCAATGGAATATTATGGAAATATTCTATTCGAAAAGTGTGGAAATATTGCATTGGAATATTGTGATATTAATTGTTATAATAATTAATATACTATTATTATTATTTTTTTAATATAATGTTTTAAAATATAATTTTAATTACTGAAATTTAATATAAGAAATTAATAATGCCAAAATGCGTTTAACTTTTTTAAATATTAACTTTTTTCAATGGGATTTGGCTTATTTTTTCAGAATATAACCCAGATAGCACGACATTTTTCGGCAAGTTTGCAGTGCAAAGTTCGGAAGTTTGCAGCAAACTTTAAATATGTATAAAAATGTCCCCCCATTGGCAAGTTTGCAATGCAAATTTTAACAGTAAAATTTCTGAAAATTTCCAAGAATAATTGTTGAAAAAATAGCGCGGATAATTTCCTCTAAGTTTGTCTATAAAATTTTAGGAGAAATAAATTATAAATTTTAATTAATAATACACACTAAAATTTTTTCAGTATTTAAAATTATAGAATTATTAACATATGAATAACCTTATATATTTAAACTGGGTCCAGAAAGACAAACAATGGATTAATTTTTTATTACATGATTTATTAAGTTATTATTATAAATGTTACATTATTTTTATTAAAAATTAATCAGTCTTTTTTAAAATTTGAAACAATTAATAAAATTTAAGAAAATGCAACGAAATTAATATGTAAACGATAGGAATCCTTCGTCTCCTTTAAAAACCTGAAACATTTAACATATTTTTTATTAAACTCGTTTTTTACGGTAAGAAAATATAAACAATTATAGAGGTACTTTTAGGGCAATACATTATATTTTATTCTTGAAATTCGTTATGTCGTATATCTAGAAAAATTAAATAATTCGTATAAAAAATTTCTCATATTTATATAATAATAAATTAGCAATATAAATACAGGCCTTAAAAACCTTGAATGTTAACATAATTTAACAACTGTTAACAATAAAATATAAAACTTTTTATATAATTTTATTTAAATATTTATAAATTTTATATCCTAAAAAATAAGTTAATCACGTCCGTAAAATTTTAATAGTGGACTGACACCCATTTAAAAAATTCTCCTGTTTAAATTAAGAAAAAATAAAATACTACAATTTGTACTAATTTACAAGATCTGCTGTCTATTGTAATGTTAAAATTAATTTGGAATGTCAAAATTTGACTAAAAATCGGAAGATTAAATGTGGCAACTGATTATTTAAAAAAATGTGAATTATTAAATGATCAAAAGAATGATATCTCTTCCAAAAAATATATTTGAAACTATTTAACACTACCCTTAATTTTCGAAATTTCAACTGTAATTTATATGCTTCTACTTCTAAAAACCTCTTTTCTTTGCAACTAAACTTTAGAATTCAAATTCTGGGGTATTTAATTACAAAAAATTTACCTTTTATTTATCCTCATCTTCGCTTGAAGATTCCATTACATCTCTCTCATTCTCTTGGCGTCTTTGTAAGGCAGTTCTATAATATAAAAACAAATTAATATTTACTGTAAAAATTTTATTAAAAGATGTTTTTGAAGATGACGATAGTTTTTATGATTTTTAATTCTTGGATTCTTCCATTTAATTTTTTGTATTTTTTAGTAAAACTTTTATGAACTTTTCTCAATATCTCTGAATTCTTCAAGAGAGAGTTCTTAAGTTGGATTTTAAAAAATATTCTATTCAAGTTTAACTAGTATTCTTATTTGTTATCAATTTTTTAACTTATTAATTTTTTTATGTTACGTATGAATTTGATACAATTTTTTAAGTTATTTTAAATAGTTTTTATTGAAATGTTTAATATTAAAATGTTCTCTTTTATCTGATTCTTAATATTTGAAAATAATAATTCTTAATAAAATCATGATTGCATTATAAAGGGAAACTGAAAATGTCAAACAAGTCAGCAAAAAATCATATAAATCACATAAAATTTCTCTATAAAATTTACTTACTGTAAACGTTTCTCCTTATTTTTACATTGGTTCAACCATAATATAATAGCCTTCTTTACATCGGCCCTATCTGCCTTCGGGATCATTTGCACGACTACATCTAATGAAAACAAAAAACGTAAGAAGAGCATAAAAATACATTTCTGATTAATAATTTGTGGACGTCCGAATATTTCAATTATTTCTAGCAAGTTATATTCAGGTTGTAACTTGGGACGTTTTCTAAAAAATGCGAGTTTTAATTAGTAAATCGAGTTTTTTACGAAGTTAATATTTGGATTTTTATTTCAGAAATAGTAAAATTTACTATTCTAAAACAAAATTTTACTATTAAGTATTTTAGAAGTGTAATTTTTTCAGATCAAATAAATTGTTTTTTGCACTGAAACTTCAGAATTTAATTGCCAATGTTATACATATAGATAAATAAATTGATAATAAAAAAGTAAAAAAATTATAAAATTAATAATTAATAAATTGACTGCTAAAAATATATTGTATTAATTTCAAAAATTATTCCAACCAATTAT